GCGTGTGTAGGCAAAAACATGGGGGGCAGCCCATTACGCATGCATGGGGGTGAACTGGCACTATTCTAATCATAATTATTGCCTGGCAACATGCAATGCAGATGTGTTAACTCACAGCTGAGCGAAATTCTCGCCTGCCTGAATATACTTGGATTTCAGCAACTCAATGGAGTGAGGTTATCACGCAGGAAGGTCGATGCCATCTTTGATTATTGATGACACTTCCACGCGCCATCTCGCGGCAACTGCTTTTGCTATTAGAGCCCCTTCCACCCACCCGCCCCTCCCCCCCACTCTCCCCCCACCACCACCACTACGCTCGCGCTCGACGGATATATCCATGATAACATGTTAATATAGCGAAGTCATTAAAGTTACACAGCTGTATCTTTATTACTGTGCTACTGGTATAGCAAAGCCTAGCTATCATAGATTTTAGATCTGTATTAGTAGTATCCTAGATATATTCTCTGAGTGCGAATGCGGTGATGGGAGGGTGCTCTTCATTCGTTTTCCAATGAGTTTAGCATCAGAACACCTGCCGCCAGGTGAGCGCTGTCGCTCTGCGGCACTTGTTAACCATCATTTTATTATTGAAACGGCCCAAGTGCCTGTGCACACACACACAGGCACTTGGGACAGAGTCAGTAAAAACTGAAAATAATATGAACGCACATTCACAAATAGGCCCTACTACCGTACCTCTCAATTAAAGTTCCACTGTTGTTGTCACTGTATATATCAACTTTCCTTCATAAAAACTAACGCCGAATATATCAACTTTCCTTCATAAAAACTAGCGCTGAACGCTCCCGCACTCGCCGCTGTGAGTGTGCTGTGTCGCCATGATAATATATATATAAAGAAGGTAGGAAACTCCCTTTGCATGATTTTCGATGATCACTCCTCGACTCTTTCACATTTCACAAACTTTTAACGCCTCTACGACCTCCATCTTGGGCTCGTTCTGCCCTCTATAGTCCACTGAACAAAATTATCTAACTACCGTGGCCGATAAGTGCAGCAGTCCTATGTAATCAGACTTCAAACACAGAAGTTTCGTGGTTCGTGCCGATTCATCAAGATTGTAGATGATTCACGAATCCGATGGCCCTCGTGGCGTCGGGCGACGCGGAGCGTGATTGGCTGCAGGCGGGACGCGTCATAAACAGCTGTTGTTGTACAGTTATGATATTGTTCATTTAGTTATACTAACGGAGAGAAAGAACTCTGACAGTTATCGTTATACTGTATTGACATTAGTTCCCTTTCATTTGTTTCAGCGTGTGTCGCTTACGTTTTCTAGTGAAATAAAACTTCATTAAGGAAACAAGTTCTTCTTTATGTAAGCGACACTCGCGAGTCCACGTACTTCCACTCCTGATCCCCATTTTACACAGATCCGTTACACATGTCTCCTACAGCCGAAGTCACGCCGTTTGGACGGTGGCGCTATACTCGGGCACCCCAGGGTTTCTTGTCGTCTGGTGATGGCTACAACCGTCGATTCGATGCCATCCTCTCCGACTTTGAGCGGAAGGAACGTTGTGTCGATGACACAATCCACTATGACGCCGACCTCGAGACGCACTGGTGGAGGACCATAGACCTCCTCGCGACACTCGGTGCCGCCGGTGTCATCTTGAACCCAGACAAGTTCCAGTTTGCCGGGCGGGAGGCTGACTTTGCTGGCTTTCACATTTCGGATGACTCAATTGAACCGCTACCCAAATACCTGGACGCCATTCGCCACTTCCCGACGCCGACCTTGACGACTGACATCCGCAGCTGGTTCGGCCTTGTCAACCAGGTCGCCAACTACGCACAGCTTCGAGATGTCATGGCGCCATTCAAACCCTTCCTGAGCCCGAAACAGAAATTCTGCTGGACGCCTGAGTTGGATGCGGCCTTCACCGCCTCAAAGGGAGCAATCGTACAGGCGATACGAAGTGGCGTTGAGATTTTTGACACTGGGAAGCGCACTTGCCTCCGCCCTGACTGGTCCACTCGAGGGATCGGATATTTCCTGCTCCAGCAACACTGCATGTGCACATCAGGGCTGCCGGACTGCTGCATAGACGGATGGCGAATTACGCTGGCAGGGTCGCGCTTCCTGTCCTCTTGTGAGCAACGGTACGCACCCATCGAGGGCGAGGCACTGGCTGTTGCCTGGGGTCTTGAGCAGACCCGCTACTTCACCCAGGGGTGCGACGACCTGGTCGTGGTGACGGACCACAAACCCTTGGTAAAAATCCTGGGAGACCGAACCCTCGACGAGATCTCGAACACACGTCTGTTCCGACTAAAGCAGAGAACCCTCCCTTGGCACTTCCGTATCGCCCACCTACCTGGCAAGACGAACTTCGCGGCCGACGCGACATCTCGTCATCCATCCCCATCCAGCGAGATGGCAGGTATCGGTGTGGGAGACATGGTTGAGCCAGCGATCTCAGCGGCAATCCGGCGTGAAACTGAGGAACTGTCCTCTATCTCTTGGCAGCACATTGCCATAGAGTCCGAGAAAGACGATTCTATATCCGCCCTTCGCCGTGCAATTGAGAATGGATTCCAGGAGAGTGACCGCCTCTTCCCACACGTTGCGCCCTATTGGCAATATCGTGACGGCCTCTACGTCCTAGACAACGTCGTTGTGTATGAGGATCGTGTTGTGGTGCCGCCATCACTCTGCCGTTCCGTGCTGGAGAACTTGCATGCAGCTCACCAGGGTGTGTCGTCCATGGAACTTCGCGCACGAGCCATGATCTTCTGGCCTGGCATCACTGCCGATATTCACAAAATCCGTGCGGAATGCGATGAGTGCAACAAGAATGCTCCTTCCCAAGCACCTCTTCCGTCCATGCCGGCAACACCACCATCCACACCGTTTGAAGCTGTGTTTGCAGATTTCCTCGATTTCGGTGGGCACCATTACCTCGTGGTGGGAGACCGCCTCTCTGGATGGGTCGAAATTTTTGCGTCCCCGGTGGGATCGCCACGGGCAGGAGCTATGGGCCTCATTGCAAGTCTTCGCACATTCTTTGCGACATTTGGGGTGCCGGAGGAGTTATCCAGCGACGGAGGGCCGGAATTCACCGCCAGCGCCACTCGCGACTTCCTCTACCGCTGGGGCATCAGCCGCCGAGTCTCATCCGCTCACCACCCTCAGTCGAATGGGCGGGCGGAGGTGGCCGTGAAGTCAGCAAAGCGTCTCCTACGGTCAAATGTTGGTCCGACAGGCGTGTTAGACAATGACAGGTTGCTACGTGCGCTGCTGCAGCTCCGCAACACCCCGGATCCGGACTGCAACGTTTCACCGGCCCAGATCGTCTTTGGGAAACAGCTGCGTGACTCATTCTCTTTCGTGAACCGCCTGGAGAAGTACTCGAACCCTTTTGTCCGCCCGGAATGGCAAGAGGCATGGCACTCGAAGGAGGTCGCGCTACAAGCGAGATTTGTGAAGTCGTCTGAGAGCCTGAATGAGCATGTGCGCCCCCTGCGTCCCATACATGACGGCGACATGTGCTTCATCCAGAATCAAGTGGGGAACTCGCCAAAGCGATGGGACCGCACCGGCACGGTCGTCGAGACTCTTGGCCACGACCAATACCGCATGAAAGTAGACGGGTCCGGGCGCCTCACCACACGGAACCGGAAGTTCCTTCGAGCATTTGTTCCGGCTTCTACCGAGATCCAGGAACGGGCCCATGCAGGACCATCTATGCCGTCGCTGGCACCACCAGCTCTCAAACCGCCAGATGCTGCCCTGCCTCGTCCTGGCCTTCCATACGCTGCCCCACGCGATCCGTGCACGGACACGCCTTGTGTTGCGCCGCCGAGTTCTTCAGTGCCACATGAAAGGCCGACAGATGACGATCTCCCAGCAGCCACTCTATCGCTGCCTACCCTGGCCCCTGCATCGCCTCCACATGGTCAGCCGCCGCCACTCAGCGATGCTTCGCCTCCCGCGCCATCACTGCGCCCTCGCCGTGCGATTCGCCAGCCTCGCCTCTATGAACCTGAGACCGGCCGCTGGATTTCTTCTTGAGTTCGCCGCGTTGCCCCCTCGAACTGGGGGGGATGTACAGTTATGATATTGTTCATTTAGTTATACTAACGGAGAGAAAGAACTCTGACAGTTATCGTTATACTGTATTGACATTAGTTCCCTTTCATTTGTTTCAGCGTGTGTCGCTTACATTTTCTAGTGAAATAAAACTTCATTAAGGAAACAAGTTCTTCTTTAGTTGTCACTGCAGCCAATCGGGCCGGGCGCTACCGGGGCCGATCGGATTTGTGAATCGTTTACAATCTTGATGAATCGGCACAAACCGCGAAACTTCTGTGTTTGAAGTCAGATTACATAGGACTGCTGCACTTATCGGCCACGGTAGTTACATAGTTTTGTTCAGTGGACTATAGAGGGCAGAACGAGCCCAAGATGGAGGTTGTAGAGGCGTTAAAATTTTGTGAAATGTGAAAGAATTGAGAAGTGATCGTCGAAAATTGCGCAAACGGAGTTTCCTACCTTTCTTATATATATATATATCATGGC